CGACCGCTTGGGCTCATAACCCATGCTTCACGAAAAGCGGTCTTTGTTTTCTTGAGCCAAACACGAAGGCAGTTAAGCCTGGTTTGGTGTACCTAGTTGTACACTTCTCGTTTTGTGCGTCCTGTTTCAAGATCCGCAGATTCATTTGGCCTTTCGCATTTCATAGAGCACACGAGGAAACGTTGCGGAGTTGTTGGCCTGTGAGGCTGGAAGAGCGGGATCTCCAACAGGTGTATGAACATCCAGTAGTTGTGCTTTTCTCACGGAGGGGGAGTGTAAAGCCTTTTTTTTGTCGAAATGCGAGGAACCTCCTCTCATTGCGCTTGAGTAGCGCTTTCAATCCATTGTTTTCTACCGACTTAACTATTTGTTCACCAGCCGACTACCACCAGCATTCCATAGCACAGCCATGAGACAAGCCTCCAGACGGGGTAGTTGGTCAGGGTGGAGCCGGTCAGTCCATTCTGCTGGTCAATGATTTTGCCCTCCGAGAGCTAATCAACACGTGGCTTGGCATTGCTGGTCTCAACCTTCCAGTTGCAGCTTCAGTGCTTTGTGAAAAGGACGCAGCTTGTTGTTTTTCTGGGCGAGGGGGTGCTGGGAGCGTATCTTGAACAAACAGACTGTCAAAGATCTATCGAACAATGGAGATACATTTATATATATATATATATTGAGATAGATGTTCAGACCTTGTCACTGGTCGCTGCTTTGGCCTGGATTTGTAGCATTCTAAAGATGAGGCAACTGAAATGGTCCACCATCCTCGAGAGATTCAAAACCAAGCAGGCGCCAAACCTGAAAGTCCAAAAGTCATTATATAACTAATCGGTTGTGTGTGTGTGTGTTTCTTCAATCTTCTCAAACGTGCCTTGTGTGAAGCATTATGCCATTTAGAAAAACGAGCCGTCAGGAACCGCCAAAGGTGCCATCAGACTTTTGTGAGTTGCTTCTGGGCAGAACCATGCGACAACAAATTGTCCGAAGACTGTTGGCATTCCAGAGACTCGTGCAGTTAGATAAACTATCTATAAACTATTCTAAACTGCCATTCCTATGTCGCAACCAAGCTTTGTTGTGCAAAGATCTCCATAACCTTGCTGTTTTGCTGCTGTAGAAGTCACTAAGCACGAGAGTTGGAGCATGTCAAAGCTCACGTGCATTGGTTTCGAAAGGGTGCAAATTGAAAGGAATTTCAGGGGGTGCAGGGGGAACACGGTATTACCATATTCTGGTCTCCAAAAATGGAAGCAACGCCAATGGGCATGGTCAAGTTCTGCTGACCCACTCCAAGCAACAATTGATCGAACTTCAACCCAGAACTTAAGCCATTTTGGACCCTACATGCATTGCATTTGCATTCTGTGAAGCTTCTTAGGCTGGCTACGAAAACCTTCTCACAGCCAAGAGACTTGGAAATGCTGCAGGACTTCTTTCTGCCACAGGGCCACACCCATTCCATTGTGAGCCCACCAAAGTCTACGCTTTCTGGAACTTGTGCCGCGGTGTTGGTGACTTTCTTGCACACAGATTGGTCAATAAGACTTGTGGTGACAGGATGCATATACCATCGTCTTTGAGGAAACAATGCATACTATGAGAACTTTGGCCGGGGTCCTGGAAACAAGAGTGGTTTGTTCAGCCTTTGGGCGGCTCCCGGGCAGTCGAAACTTGAATTCGGAACACTCAGTGCATTGGCTCCTGAGCGCACAAGGTCTACTGCGACCTTGGGTGGGGCGATCGGGCTGCGGCGGAGTTGTCTTGGACTGTGAAGGCAGAACGATTTCACCACCTATGTGCATTTAGATCTCATGTGGTTTGCTGATCCATGTTGCAACTGCTTGCTTGAGAGAAATGAGGCCTGCTTCCTCTTGGTCAATATTGAAGCTAAGCTGCAAAAACTGATTCCTGGATTTTTGGAGCTTTTGTGCAGCTGAGGAAATGGAAGGAAACTTGGCTGGAAACATTATGAAACACTGTGGAGCATCACAGCCTGTCTAATGAATGCTTTGGTACTTTATTCGGTTTGTACAAGTCTGGGTCTCCATTCTTAACCATCATATCAACAATGGACTGATTTTGTGCAGATCTTAGGCAACAGCGTGGCAGACGAAGGCTGCAGGGTTCTGTTCGAAACTTGGAGATTGATGAACTGAGCTGGACACACCTTGGTGTTGTGAGAAGCGTTGAATTGAAGCGTATCAAAGCTGTCTTGCAGAAGGCATCACTGGCTTGGCAGCCCAGGAAGCCTTCGCGGAGTGCGTCTCCTTGTCGCAAATCACTCTTCGGTCCAACAGGATTGGTGATGCCGGGGCGGCTTGGGCAGCAGAGTTTTTCTCCTCCAATGTAGTTGTTGTGAATGCTTCAAATGTCTGTGCCAAGGCTCATCATATATCCCTGCATTTGCCACAATGTGTAAATCTCGAGGAGTGGGATGGATTAGGGTAGATTTGGGTTCTTGTTTTGAACAACTTCCACTAATTTCAATGTGTGCAGAGTGTACATGATGCTGAAGATGCGTATCATATTGAATAGAACTACTTGCATTATGTTACCTCAAATACATAATACTTCTGTAGATCACCTTCAACATCGCCAAGGCCGAATGGAAGCATAACATTCATAGGCACATGAAAGTCATGAAGTTTTAATGGTCGCTGGTGTGTAGCACATTTGTGACCTGGGCGAGTAGCCAGCCAATGCAGATGTTGACTATCACTTCAATCCTTTTCCATGGCCCGGGCAGATAGCCAGCAATGTTCCAGGAGTTGGACCTGAGCTTCAACAAGGTTGGCAATGCAGCTTAAATGCAACAAAACACGCGTCAAACGTTTTTGGGTTGGCCAACTCCAAAGCATGCATTGTCATGGAGTAATGATTGCTGTATGTTTGCTCTCGTCCAGTCCAAGGCGGGGGCCGAAGATTTCATCAACATGTTTCAGACCGCTCATCCATCGCTGAAGGACTGATATGGACTGCTTCAAAGGAAAAGTTGTGCAATTTCGTGCTTGTACATATGCCATTATGATTATACCGCACAGCTTGCGTTTTTGGACGGTTGATCTCTCTCTCGGGCTTCATGCGGGTGAAGAGTGAACATATGTGAAAATGATGCACCCGGCAAAAGCATCCCAATCATTGTTTGCAGAATGAGTTACCAGACTGTCCGGGTGAAGGAATTGCGTCTCAACAACAACATGGCACCTTGGAGTTGAAAAGGAGCACCGAGATTTTCAAGAATTTCAAGCTGTCATATGAGTCAGATGCAAAGTTTTTGTTGTTCGAAGTTTGTTGAGGTGGCAGGAGCTAAGTTTCGGGATGGCACGGGCAGTGCCAGGATGCATGGTTCGCCGCCCCACCCATCAACTGGAAATACTTAACTTATATTATTCACATGAGCTGGTTCATTGCTGAACGTAAATGTTTTTAGAGTTTAGAGTGAAAGTTGGAAAGAGTTCTACTGTATGTAGTATATAGTTTAGATCTATTTAGTAAAGTCTGCGTTATTTGTTCGCCGGAACCAATGCCAAAGCCTAAAATGCTGAAGTCCATTTTGCATTTTTGTTTAGAGGCAACTGAGTGCCCGCACAAAAGCTTCGAGGGAGCATGAGTGCTGGGTGTATGGGCACTAGAAAGGGCAGCATTTAAGGTTGGCTCCACCTTCAAGATGAAATTGGCGAGCGTGGCTGAGGAAATTCAAGGAGATGGTTTCCGGGTGCGAGTTTAGCACTTTCGAGCCTCCCCTGTAGCCGGGGCCAGCGTGGCGTGGTGTTAACATAAAATTATGAAATTGGCCCATGAAGTCAGGATTCTATCCCATGCGATCCCCTCCTGCAGTAATTCGACGAATCCAGAATTAGGATGGCGGCCCTGCGAAGCACGGCAGCCGCCGAGCGGCAGTGCAAAGATGTTCTTTCGCAGGCCTTTGTTGAGTTGGTCCCTTTGATCAATGCAAATCGGACCCAATCTGTGAGCGATGGGACAGCAGAAGGGCGTGGAAAGGCGATGTGACAGCAGCAATTAGCCATGTGCCACCGGTTGAGCCGGCAACACACATGGCGTTTCACTGCTCCCAATTGCGGCCCGCAATCAAAATATTTGGCTTGAGAAGTATCAGCCTAAATTCCCTTAGATCCAGAGTTCTGGCTGAGTGAATGATGTGAATGTTGAATTACAGAGTGTGTTGCAGAACCATGCCGTCGGTGAGTCCTTTCAAGTGTGAATGCTGCAACGATTTGCAACGTATCGGACGTAGCGGTTTGCGTCATTTTGTTGTTTGATCAAGTGTGGGGTCTCCTGTTGAGTTTGCTAGTCTCGGATGATAAAATATTTTGCTAGATCAGCTAAGCAAGATCCTTTACATTATATTGCAGCTTTAAAAGCCTCCCCCGTTCGTGCACATGATTCAAAACTTGGGACAGCCAGGTCCAGTCGAGAATCGTTTTCGACTGGCGCATCTGAGGCGTAGAAGACGTAGATCGGAGAAGCAAGTTTCACAGTCCATTTGGTGGCGGACTTCGTGTAGGAGCACTTAGGCTTCATGGTTGGGCTCATGGACTTGAGGCATATGGCATAATTGTTTGGATGATGTCGGAGCACCAGCCGGAGGTTCAAAAGACTCTTGCTCAGCTGAGGACACCCATCCACCGCAGGGGATCATCAGGGAGCATGACGGAGGGTTCTCTCGCATCAGAGGCCATGTCAATTGACAAAGTTGAAGATGTTTGTCCCCGGGATTGGACGGGGTCTCATTAACCAGAATCAGCAAGACATGTTTGCAAGAACTTGTCTCATGCTCAGAAGCTGCCGTGGCAGCCCACTTCAGGCCTTAGGCTGTGAGATGTTGTTTCTGCATGTTTCTGCTGCTTGTTTCTCATGCACATTGAAAAGACTTGAGGATTGTTGAGCCCCAAACTCCCAACTCCACTCTCTCGCTACGTATGGGGTGAACCTTTGGCTCTGAAGATGACACGTTTGCTGATCGATATGATGATTGCCGCAGCTCTTCTGAAGCACCAGAGGGGCCGTTTTCAGACACATCACACTGGCGAACAAAGTTCAGAGCTCAGCTGTGTATGCGTGATGTGTTCCAAAGCTGCTTGGAGGGAACTGGACCGTTGATTTGAGGCCAATGGCAGAGATCAGTGTTTCACCCTCCAGGGAGCTGCATGTGCCGAAGAATCGAGAAGGGCCGGGGGTCCTGGCTTCCGCATCCCAATGATTGGTGCCTCGAATTGCCAAAAGTGTTCAGACAAGCAGTGTGCCTTGAAGAAGGCAGAGCAAACGGAAGATACTATAATGGAAGCAATTTGTTAAGAATTGTGCTTGACTGTGCTAGGCTCATGGATGAGAAGGCGTTGAAACGTGCGAACCGATTAGCTGGCGCAACTTGGACCAGGTTTCGCACGCGTCCAGCTGGGTCATGCTGGGTCAAGTTGCGCATGATTGAATTCCATGACGTTCCAACCAAAGACGGATTGCCAGAGTCCTTTGCAACTGCAACCAATTTTGTTGTGTGCACCTAGGTAGGGCAGTCGGTGGCCAGCATGGACTTGAAGGCATGGCAGACAATTTGCAGCCTTTCAAACGCAGATCAAGTTGATACTTCAGAGTAAGGGATGGGATGACGAAATGGTTGCCAACGGAATATCCCTCAAGGGCAACGCGGCTGTGTTGTTTGTTGGCAGGTGCTGCCCAGATTCAGCTACCTTTTAGCCGAAAAAGATTGATAGAACTTAGAACATGATACTGGTAGGCATGCAGCTCGCTGCTTGCTTTCATGCCACGGAGCTTCACACATTTAATCACATTTAGTATTACTGTAAGTATGCTGTTACTGGGCACATTCCTCTTTCATTTGGTCAGCAGGACCAGTTTTCTTCCCGAATTGGACATGTGCAATCAACCGTAACAATCGTGACATATCAAAGGCGGTCGATGGCCGGCTCAGGCCGTAGCTGAAACCTATAAGAGTCAAGCTGGGTGCCCAAGGTTAGCTTATTCGAGTCACACATGTTTTGGATTGTTTTGGCTCAAGATTCAGCAGAACAACTCTCCCCTCCAATTTTTGGTTGAACTCATGGTCACCGCTTTGTTGCTGATATACCCTTCATTTGTGATTGATGCGCAAGTAGAGTTGTCACGATCACAGCTTTCCCGTCTTCCCGTTCCGAAAGCATCAAAGCCGACATCATGTAGTGAAATCTACTTATGCTTGTAGAGTGTCAGGCGCTGAAAAGTTTTCCATCACGAACTTTGAGGCTGGCAGCAGTGGCATCGAGGCAGCTGCAGCAGCTGCAGCTGCCCTGAACGCGGCACTAAAGGACTCTTCACATGTATTGAGGGCTTGGCAGGGCGGTCGACACTTGTGGACCGATGAAGCAACAACAAAACTGATAAAAAGCTATTTATAGGTCACATATTAGATACTATAGTCCGATTTGATTAATTCAAGCTGCGATAGCCCAATTTGCTGTGCCCATGTGAGTTCCCACCCAAACGTTATGTTGCCAGGCATCTCTACACGGAGGGGTGGTTGACCAAGAGGAGTGCCTGAAGGTTGCACAGCAGGAGGTGGGTTGCTGGAAGCTATTGAATTGGCTATTGGCCAAAGCCCATGCTGGGCGTGACTTCCAACTTCCCATTGACAGACAAAGTAGTATCTCAAGGCATCTCAAGGCGGTCCCACTAATTAGCAGGATCGCGCCACGTCATATTTGCACTTGCACAATGCAGATGGACTCTACAAAGTCCAAATGCGTTTTCTGATTTTGTTTGATGTCCTCAAGGGTAGTTTGGCGCGGCCCTTGCTGCGCAGAATCAAACGCTTTGGCCGTGGTTTGACCGCGTTTCCAGGTCCAAAAGGCAGCAACGAAGCGGGCTCGCCAAGCACAAGGAAGAACTGACTGTCGGAGTTGTCACATGGTAGTGACTCGTGACAGTGACAAATACTCACTCCAACTTCCATAAAGACTCCTGAAAGAATTGATTTGCTGAGGAACCTGTCAGTAGGAACATGACAATGGTTGCTTGAAAGCTTTTCCACAAGGTGTGCGCAGAGAAGTTCAGCCTTGGCATGAAGCTTTTGCAGCACTCGAGTCTGCACTACATCGATATAGTTATGCGGTTACACAACAAGCCACCCCCTCTTGAAAAAAAAATACAATACTTGATTGAGTTTGCAAATACTCTTGCTGCATTTGTTTGTCCTCTCACTCCTCTGTGGAGAATGCCTTGATGCTTCTGTTCGTTGTTTGGAAGTCATCTGGATTGTTGTCCAGGATCACTGCTCGGCCGCGATGTAAAGTGTCGAAGTTGCAAACGCCGCTGATCATTTTGTTACGCCCCTCGCCTCTATGTTGTATGTCCAGCTCAAGGACCCTTCTGTTGAGCCCAGGTCCGCTCTCAAGTTGGAACGGTGCTGAAGGGTGTTGCTTCACGAGAGAGAGAGAGAGAGAGAGGGGGGCCCCCCTTGTCCTGATAGACGCTCCTAGGAGATCATTTTGGAATATTTTAGATGTGCCAGGTTTGCGGGATTCCAGGCCACCGAATTAGAAATTAGATGAAATTAGTGAATGATAGCTGCTGGACCATCACTATCACTAGGAAGGCTTACAGATGGTGGCTACTTCAGATAGTTTCGCATCTCGTGACTATATATGCCTTTCCCCAGCTGCGGGCAGTGACACAGGAGAAGCTGTTTTGGCAGCCCGGGTTGCAGAGGCAAGCGCGTGGGGATTTCCAACCGGGATTTATCAACTGATCAGTTTTCAAAGTGATCCAACGCGTCCAACGTGTGATTTCCAATCAGATCTCCAGAAAGAGCTGGTGCTACGGACACCGATCCTTGCAAAAGCTTTGTCGCTGTCCACTAGGTTGACCAAATTGCAGTGTCCATCCATTTGCACATATTGCTCGAGTACTGGTCTGTTGTGGCAATGCATGAATCACGACTGGACCATGCGGAAAACTTGCACAGATGTTGGGGAAGAACCAACATGAATTCATGTATTCATGAGGACCTCCAACACTCACAAAGATGTGCCTTATGCACCTCACCATGTCTCAACAGCATGGAGTCATATATGTCAGTGTGAAGCTTGCAAATTGTCGAGGTGGGCTACGAGGGGCAGGCACGCTCGGAGGCAATGAAGCTAGCGCATGACGCCCACTTCACCAAGGTCATGGCCAATAGGCGGGCAGTCCCGGCTGAGAACATATGGGAACGGATGCAAGAAAGAAGAGCTAAAAAAAGAGCGGCACGCATTGCAGATGATACAGATCATTATATACATGGTGTAGTGTAATTACCCAGGTGTTTGATGAAAGCATTGAGTAGAAGTGCTTGATGAAAAAGCGTCGCTTGGTACGTCTATCACGTTGTCGACCTCTGATGATCTGATGGTTGTGGAGGAATGATCGCCTGGCTGAAGATACGGCCACGAAGCGGGCGATCCGTGAGGCTGAACAGCTGGGGCAGGATGTCGGTTTGGTCTTTAATGAATGAGTCCTGCTACTACATGCAGGGTTTTGCATGTAAAAAACTCGGCACGTGCTGAAGCATGCTGAAGCAGTCAGATTTGCACGTGCGTGGCCTAGCTATGGTGCAATGGCAATCCTGGCGGTTGTATATTTTATAAAACATATAAAAAATAGAGCTCAAGTTTTAGGCCCGAAAAGCATTCCTTTACAGTCTTTACAGCTGTATTCCCACGATTTGTTATTTGTTTTTGCAGCTGTGCGGCCTATGGAGCATGCAACAGAGCCGCATGATAGCAGGACATAGCAGCTTTTCTTCGGGAGCTAGGGCTTGAATGTGCCACCAATGACATCGGGGCATGAATTACATCGGACCAGGAGCGGGCTGCTGCTGCAGCAAGTCGAAGGTGCCTCTCTGAGGCTGGGAACGGCTTTGGCACGTTTTGTATGCCTAGGTAGGGCCGACTATATAACCGTTCTTCCATTCTTTAGAATCAAGCAAGCAACCAGCAAGAAGTGATGTGTAGCCAACAAAGTTTGATTGGGGGACGCGTTAGCGTCCCTTAGCACCCAAATGCCTCGATAAAGCTTCAGCAGAGTACCACAGGTTGCACAAGACTCGTGGTGGATTCGAGCATTTTCTTCATTGCTTACTATGATTCACCGCCAGGCCAGAGCGAGATTTGGCCATCGGTGGCCATCAGTTCCAGTTGAAGACTCTGCCAAGGACTTAGATCAAATGGTTTTGCATAGCTTCTCCAACCGGATTGGATCACAGGAAAACACTCCACCACGGTGAATATAAATATGCAAGATTGATTATACAATACAATACTGTCTTTGCTTGGCCCTGGGAACCAAGGCTGAGCCGTCAGCATATCCTAGTCTTTTGGCAGATGATCCTGCCAACGGCCCAGATGGAAAGAGTCGTTCGGATGAGTCAGCTCTGTTTATTCAGGGGCATGTTACGGCATGTTGTTATGTTTCTTCAGTTAGTGAATGCATGAATGTGCTCGCTGTTTCTTTTGTTTCCAGCTTTGCGATTTTATAAACACATGGCTAGCCCTCTAGCTAGTGCATTTGCTGTATGAGATTGCATCAGCTGGCTTTGAAACATTGCTGCCGACAAAAACTGGTCAAGAGTGTTTAATCAATATATATATATATATATGTGGTCCACACAGATTCTCCTTTCAACTGAGCTCAGGTGGTACGCCGAGCGCGGGCTCTTTGCAGTGGTGTTGCTCAGGCGCCAGAATAGTTTTGAAGAAGCATCAATGCAGTATCAGCTCCCATACGCTGTAGCTGTCTCTGGCAGAGCCAGTAGTCGGTCTCCTCAAATTGTGCTTGAGGCAGTCTCGCAGCTGGAAGAACAGAACCAGATGCTGAAGAATAAGCCATCTTTGCAGATTAACCTGCCTAGGCAGTGGTCCGATTGGTCACATCCATGTTGATGCACGGGACGTCTCCAAGAGGTGAGTCATGTGTGCACCAAGGTTGCAGCTAAATCCAATGCTCGAACTTATTCTTCTAACATCTCGAAGACATGCTCGACCCAACTGTTGGTCACTTCAGAGCAGTAGTGTTAATATGTGAACAATCATCTTATAGATGTAGACATAAGGACCATGGTTTCCGCCAGGGCAACTGCAGTCAGACTACACCATTTTGTGTGACAAGCTTAACGTCCCAAAGGAGGTCCATGAAGGTCTAGAGTCTAGTGAGTCTAGCGGCTCAGCCTGTTCATCATGTGTGATGGTGACAGCATGAGGTGTGTTCCTTTTCTTGGCTTGGTCTTTTGCAAGTTCAGTCTAGTCATCTCAACTGCGACTAGCTTGGCACAGGTCACAGCCTGCAAGGGAGCAAAAAACGCCAAAGCCTTTCCAGGGGCCGTTTGACAACGAGGCCAGCTCCAAATACAAAAACAAAAATTCTGTGTTGAATTGAATAGGTCTCAGTAAATGTTTATAACCAACATGTATTCGCAAGGTCGTAAGCGCCTCGGCGTTTCCTAATTATGTTTCTTTCTTGGTTTTGTCATGCACTGATTAAAATTGATCCCCATACCAAGTCCCCTGTGGTCAGTGGCGAAAGTTGGACCAGGCAAGTTGGGATTCCCAAATGGCTTATATATATATATATATGTCGGACCTTATGGGGAATACCCTACCATCGAAGCACTGTCGCATTGAAAAGGAATTGAAGACTTGGACTCTTGGCTCACGGACAGCCACAAAGTTGTTTTGTCCGCCTTCCTCACTTCCTCCATTTTGCTCCCTTTGTCTACTGGTGCCTACTGTTGCCTCATTCTCCTCAGTCCTTCTTTCCTTTTCAGAAGCAGAGCCGCACTCCACGTGCCACTATTTGCCACTCCAGAGCTCGAAAGCATGTGCTATATTTGTCGAGGAATTTGTGAGCAGCTCAGGGCCGAAGTCACTCATGCTGTCAATCTCAGGACTAAAGACGAATACAGTGTTCTCTCCTTTTGGGCATTGGCGACTCCAGATCCAAATTCTGAAAGGTAGGTATATAGGATTTGGATTATGATTATATATAGTAATAAACAAGGATTATTAAACAAGGCTAGTTATATATAGGATTATATAGGATTGTTTAGTTATATATAGGTAAGTCCTGATCAAACGATCGGACGGATGATGCGCTGTCAATAAGAGTCATCGGTCTTAGCGTGTACCCAAGGTGTCCTGCAAAGCAAAACGCTAAAAGACGTCATTCCTAGGTTTCTCACATCCGTGTGTGGTTGTGCCCCGCTTTCGTGTTTAGATTTCTTACTCGTTCCTTCTCATTCCTATAATTCCTATTAATTCCCTTTATTCAACTCGACAAGATAAAGGGTCAGGGTCGCCCTGGCAATCAATGTCAAAGATTCCTCATCTCGTGAATACGATAAATGATAAATACGTGTGGAAATATTTGGATATTTGAATAGGAGAGTGTGTGTATCGGTGTGTGTATCCTTAATTTGGACCGTAGCAATGCTTCAGTGGCACCTGGAAAAGCAGGAGCTCATCGCGAAGGCGAAAGAGCTGCTCGCAGATTACAAGCCTTTTCCTTAGATCGCATCCAGAAAAGCTGCTGATTGAAGCAATTTACTGCAGTCTAGGCAATACAGGTAGAACGACAGGTGACAAGGGGGTGTGCTTTAGCTGGGTTGCTCAAAGGGCTTGGGCACATGCTTGATTACTCTAGAAGCCACACTTGAACCCGAGGCCAGAAAAGCAGAGGCCGTGCTAACCCCAAAGTGTATTACCCTACAAGAATCGCTTGCAGTCTAGCCGCAACGTACCATGCGGCTCACTTATTTCGACTTGGAGACTAACAGCAGGTGTGTTTTCTCACGCGCTGCAGGATACTTGTGGTGGCAGTAGACATGCATGTGTCACCTTGTGTCAGTGCTGGATGGGGTGGCACGGAGACAACACAGGGCATCGGTTCACGGAGGATTGAAACAGTTGGAGGATGTCACGTAAATGCAGTGCTGTGCCCCACAGCAGGCTAAACATTGCGCAGGCCGTTCACCTTGCACAACATTAGGGACAACCAGTGGAGTGTGCCTAGGATATTACAGGATATGCACTGTGAAATTGAATTTCAGAATGAGCAATGTCAAGACATAGATGGTATAGCTATACACTTGGGGCTACTGATGGCACCGCAGAGTTAAACACCTATTGTGGTCATTCTGGTGAAGTTTGCAGGTTGCCCTCTGCGCGGTCCTCAGCGCGGACAACCCCCACAAGAGAGCCCTCCAGTCATGGAAGCCCGCGGCAAGGATTGCCTTGCGGGCAGGTTTGGACCGGCACTGGCTGGAAGCAGTCTCAACTCAGACTCAGACTCAGCTTGGCTTTGGTGATCCGAAGCAACTACCTTAAGAATCGTTTGTTGGGTTTGTTGTTGTGTTTTTCTTTTCCTGTGGAGACGGGTTGAAAACAAACGGGAGAGAGAGAGAGGGAGAGATGTGAGCCGAAGTGTACTGGTACAATTTGGTACCCACCTTCTTGAGCACCTTCGGGTGACCCCAGGAGACCTCAGTGCCCTTCAGCGTGCACGACAGCAATGTACAGATGTTTGTGTTGGGGGCTCAGTTTGATCACCGGTTGCAGTCGCTTGACTATGCAGTTGCTTGGTCGACTCGTGTTGCAAACTCGTTTGGTCGACTTAAGGTCGAGCTGTCTACAAAGAGCCGTGCAATGAGACGGTAGCATACGAACTGACAAGGCTGAATGAGAAGATGTTGCAAGTGCAATTATTGCATACTGCTACTGTAGTCGTATTTATATATGTTCATACTAGATGGATGTGCAAATGTATTAACTTCAAGCCATGGCCTCCAACTTGCACAGATAATAGTGAGCCTCGAGGAAGTTGACGGTTGCACCGGTGCGAATGGCATTATTTTAGCAATGGTGACTATTCGAAGTGGCTGCTCTCAGCTGTCAACTTTGAAAGGCTGCGTGCTTTTGTTATCTAATATTTTCTTTGTTTGACCTGTAGATGTTTTACATGTTCATTTATTCAAATCTTGGGTGATTTTACTGATCATGTCAGAGAGAGCATCAGTCACATGCAGACTGAGCAGCATTAGAGGTTGGCAAGGGATTGGGCGGGACAAGACTCAAGCATGACTCAAGCTAAGAATGCCGCTCAATGGACTCTATGTCATTGTCGCTCAGCCTACATGTTTAGCAGTTTCACAGGCCCAATTCATCTCCTGCCTAGGATTTTCAGCAACTGATGGCAGTGTATGATTGACACAGCAAGGAGGCCGTAGAATCTCTTCAACGGACGATGTTGCCCGTGATAGAAATACTACCTGGAGGCATGTTTCGCCAGCACCAATCAATTGCAACTGGAAATCATAAAATAATCATAAGGGTTTGAGAACAAGAGGCGGCTTGCCCTGTTTTTCGTACTGAATTGCTGAGAACTTGAGACCATTGCTAGTACATATATATATAGTACATGATCTAGTGAATCTATATGGTTCGTGTGTGCATATGTTGCCCACACCATCCTGTGGCATCCTGCGGCCACCCTTCGCTGTGCAACCCGCGGACACATCTCAAGAGGCCCACCTGACCGAGAGCAGGTAAGCCAGATATGTCCAGAAAAGGAGCCAAGCAACGGATGCGCATGAGTCATTGAGTGACTCGACAACATGATGCAGCCAGGATATTTCCTGCATTTTCTTGCCAACACTTTGCGCAGGATACACCTGGCAATTCGGTTTTCTACAGACTATTGGGCCGTGTTGTTATATACATAGTTCTCCATTCTGCATACGTACTGATACGTACTGTGGATTCTTGCTCACATATCAACTTGTGAAGATGACTCGTGATACAGCCCCTGCACCCAGGGCAGCTTGTTACTGTCCTCGGCTGAATTCGCAACTTGCCGCTCGCAGTGTTCACTCAATCAAGGAATGCCGACAAGTTTGCATGTCCTGTTCGTGTATGCTAGAAGTATTGTAAGTCTTCGAAACACAGTGTTTCCTTCTTGGGGCCACCAAGCCAGGAAGATCAAACAGATTGGCAAGCGGAACTGTAAGTCTCCATGGCGATTTTGCAATGTGCATCTTACAAGACTTAGCAGATCTCCACAGTCAAATTGGCCAGCCTTCCCCGCTGAGGGTGGCCCAGGGTTTGCTGTGTGGCGCGTATGTGCAGTTGTCAGTGCAGACAATTAGCTTGAACCATGCCTGCTAGTCGCTGCTTGTGGTGATCTAATTTGACGTCCCGATCAGTGTGATGCAAGGTGTGCTTGCATTCATCTCTCTCGGCTCGATTCATCTCGATTTAGAAAAGTTTCAGATTGAAGGTATCAGATATTCAAGTTTCAAGTGGCAACTGTGAACAAGGCTGCTCGTTTTGAACATCCCCTTGAAAGCCCTTAGCGCCGCACATTTGGCGCTTTCGAACTGTACGCCATGCATACCGAGACAGAGAAAGAAGCGGAGGAGACCTTAGTACACTACCTGTAAATGCTTTTGAAACCTGTTAAATACGATTTCCACTATTTAGTGTACCACCCATGCCACTACCAGGCCTTGGCTTTTGGGCCTCTCTTGCTAGACCAGGCCCTTGCTACTAGCAATTTGATTGCATGCCCATAAATTTGCTATCATATCACTTATTTTCTGCAGAGGCTGCTCCCAAAACATCGCTTGCATGCTATACTTGGAGGATACCTGCCCTGTTCATGGGCCTATCACTTGCGGATTCCTCCAGAACCTTTGTGGTGCCTTTGGATGGAAGCTCTTGTTGCTGATCGGATTAGCTGAAATCACATTGAAGGCGTGAAAGGGAAAGCTGGCAACGTTCTTGTCTGACATGTAGACCTAAAGGAAATTGGGTTGTTGGCAGACAATCCTTTTGCATGGCGCTGCTGCGTGATGCTGCGTGTAGTTTTTGCACGTCCTGATATAGTGAAGGAAGCTTGTGTCACTTATGTCCAGTTTGCATCCGATTGACGTTGCAAACTTTCAGAAAGCGTGGACAAGAAACATGCAAAACAAATCTGGCAGCTACTTGATGGCCCTGGGGAGAGGGGGTGGGAGAGAGAGAGAGAGGGAGGGAGGGAGGGAGGGAGGGAGGGAGGGAGTGAGTGAGTGAGTGAGTGAGAGACTGACAGACTGAGAGATTGAGAGACTGAGAGACTGTGAGTGAGAGTGAGAGTGAGAGTGAGAAGATGATAGTGACAGTCGCGATGGGAATAACGTGGTCGTGGCCGGTAAGATTTCTAGGTTGACCTACTATAATATAAATGCAAATGCTACAGCTATATATATTGCTCCTGTACCTATATCCAGGCTCCGGCATACATTCATTCGTTTCCCTTTCTTCCCTGTCCCTTGCAGGGCTTTGTAGCGGGTGGAGGAAGCGGTGGCCTGGTTGGGCTTCCTATCGAGTGACCAGACCTTGCTTCAGGATGTTGTTTGCTTAGTTTTGGGCACTTGGGCACTGGTGTTCAATGCTTGTCCTACCAAGGTATTTGATGAGGGAGCACCTTGGAGAAGAGATAGATCAAGAGTTCCTTCACTCTCTTTGGACCTGTTGGACTCAAAGCCGCTCAAAGCTGTTACCGACCTAAAATCCGGCCAAAGGCCCGTCATCGGGCCCGGCAATGGCCGTGTTCTCCCAAAGGGTCTCTCCTCTCCGTAGGAGAGAGGGGCTTCCGCCCCTGCTGCCGACCCACCGGGTTCCAGCTGGGAGGTGCCCGGGAGGTACCTACGCTACTGTGTTTTACAGCATTTCTGCGCGTGGTGTTCAAAAAAAACACTATGTTTTATAGGGTTTTGTGCGCGTGGAAGATCAAAAGTTTTTGTGGTGGCGAAGTGCCAAAACTGTGGGATTTACAAGGGTGGTGCGAGTTACGCGCGCCGCACGGGGTTGCGTAATTGTTTTTTTTTGTGTGATGGGCCCGTGTCAACATAAATGGCGCAAACTGTACCCCAAGATGACCCAACAGAGGCCCCCCAGATGACCCAACATAGGTCCAAGATGGGCCAACATAGCCCCAAGAGGGGGGCAACATAGGGTCCAAGATAGCCTAACATAGGCCCAAGATGGGAGCAACCTGGGCCCAAGATAGCCCAACATAGGGCCAAGATGGGCCAACATGCGCCCAGGCTGGCCCAACATAGGGCCAAGCTAGGCAAACATGGGCAAGATGGGCCGCCAACAACAACAACAACAGCAGCAGCAGCAGCAACAGCAACAACAACCACAACAACAACAACAACAACCAAAGCAACTACACCAACGACGACCACCCCTTCCTCCCCAGCATGCCGGACGAATCTCCAAGAACAGACCAGGTGCAAGATCCGGCAGTTGCGCAGAACCCAACCCTGAACCCAATTCTGGCCAGCTGTCGGGCGTAAGCCCTTAAATTCTACAAAGTCTTGGCTGCAGTGATGGGGCTACACAGGGGTGCAGCCACTTCATGTTTGGGTGGCGAGGACTTCGGTCTGAAGATGACCAAGAGAGAGAGAGAGAGAGGGAGAGTGTTTGCCCCAGCCAGCCAGACTATATGGACCATGTCTACTCTGTAACTTCTACCAAGCTGATGTACCAAACTTGCTGCAAGCTGACTTTGTGGGGGCCTCAGGTACAACGTGCCAGCAGCAGATCTTCAAGTCTATAAATCAGCAGTGCTAATTCCGTGGCAACATGGCAAGAAACTTTAAACAGAAAGTGGCTTCGGAGAGTTATGTTCCTTGTTCGACAAAGTGTGATTCCCCACATTTTTGTGTGTTCTTACTTGTATGCGCATCCCGCCCGAACGCCATGCCCGCCTCAACTGACTGCCTGACTGGCGCGCTCGCTCACTCTCTCACACTCTCTCTCACTCATCGCTCGCTCACTCATCGCTCACTCACTCGCTCACTCCCCCACTCACTCACTCACTCACTCACTCATTCACTTCTCTGCTCATCATCCGGATACACTCAAATCCACTATCATCCCTTTTCGTGCGCTTCTGCATCCACTTGGTCTTAAAACGTTATAAACACTACTGTAACCTCACATGTGGGTTTGTTTGGTCATTTTTCTTTTGTTATGTTTCAGTTCCTTTATTAATATAGCGTTTCTAAGATGTAGTGGAAATGTCTCTTGACTACCTTACTTCTTTGGAAGCATAGAGGCGGAAGTTGTGCAGCACTCAACTGAAAATTGGCTTTATTGCTTCAACTTCTTGGATTCTGCACTTGCTGCTCCCAGGGCAATCAAGCCTTTGTTTGGTCTGATTGCTGACTCCATGCCTATTTTGGGCTTCAACCGAACACCGTACTTCGCCATAAACAGCATCGCTGGAGTGACGGCGCTCTTCCTCATTGCTCTGGTGCCATCTCTTTCGCTCTCGATTCTTCTCCTCATGTTCTTTCTGGTGTTCATGGAGATTTGGCTGCAATCATGCATTTTCCTTGCATTTTCCAAACCTTCTTCAAACCGGTTTTCTTTGCAGTTGTTGTTTGAGAGAGATCCCGAGGACATTGCGTGGAGCGACCTTTTGACTGAAGCTGTCTACTCCACGCACCTGCGTTCCAAGCCTGAGGAGGGCCCCAATCTCATCTCTTTCATTTGGGGAGGTGCACGGGCTGCAGGATTGCTTTCAATCTCGAATCCTATTCATACTCATATTGAGTATTGCTGAATGTCGGGATCCCTTCACTAAAGGGCACATGTTTTTTGCAAATGGTGCCATGCCAGTTCACATTACTCTCTTGATATTTTTTGAAACCGCATTCCGAAAGGATGTTGCTCGTAGTAGGCATGAAGGAAAGAGTTCTTGCCTTTCATAACCAAGTGCAAAGATCTTTGGACACTTTGCACATGGTGTGCCGCAGTTTCACTGTCCATAGGTATTGGCATCGGAAAACTGGTTTGCATCAGCATGGTGGGAATCTCGTTTGCATGGTTCGTGGGACGAAGTTCATTCGACTGATTCAGCTCTGTTTAATTCAGCACTGCGTTCATGTTGGTGGTGTGTTTTCTCTGCGGTGTGGCAGTGACTTGCTCAATTAGCGGGAGATTGGTTCAAAAAGGCGTAATGACATACGCCCTGTTGAAGACCTTTACCAATCGTTCTGTGAAGTAGCAGGTCCTCACCATAAGTCAGTTTGCACACGAGATGTTGTGTAACGAGGGGGATGCCCCCAAAAGGCATTTGAATCATGCATGCCACCATGCACGGACTGGCAACCAAACAAACTGATGTGTACAATGAGTTGCTCAGACCTGTTTATTGTCTCACTCCCCAAGGAGTGCTTATGGAGCATTTCGGGAATCGATCTC